TGGGCTGGTGCCGTCTCGAGGGCGCCCCCCCCCGGCCCCGCGTCGCGGGAGCAGCGGCGGCCTGGGGCCCTGCTCCCTCCCCGTGTGCTGAGGGAGCAGCTGCACCGCCCCGGGAGTTTTCATTCCTTTTCCCCCCTTTGACGGGGATAACGCGGTGGAGGTCGTCACCCGGTCACGCGTGACGTTCTCCCTGACGCCAAAGAACGGGATTTGCGGTTCTTCGCTCGGGTTCAGTGCGTTTCTGTAAACGGGGCCGTATTTTCCATCCCTCCAGGAGCTGGGGCGGTGAAGTACCGCGGCCCTGAGCTGCTGCGGGCGGGAGATTTGTCGGTCCTTCAAGCTACCACGCAGAAGAAGGAAACCTTTTGGCCCGTCACGGTGACGTGTAGGCTTAGTCAAAAAGTTCCAAGTTACATCAAAATCCTCGCAATAAGCAACACGCCTCCGGTGCCAAGAGAAAGCAGAATATGGACTTGAAACTCCGCATGTTTTCCCTCCTAACCTCACCGTTACGTTTCCCGTCACGCGCAGCCTGGCTGCCAAATTCTGCTCCTTCGGTTCACGCCGTGACCTTCCCCGCATCACCCGATCTCTACGGCTCGTTTGCCCTTTCTGTGAAACAAGGACAATGTATTCCACTGGAAAACATTCTGGAATGGAAAGATGAAATATTTCGGAACCGCTAAGCCGTTATTATTGCCGTCGACCAAAATCTTCTCTTCCCCAGCTCAGCGGTTGCCTAATCCCGTTAGTCACACTCAGAGGCCTCCCCCTTCTTTAGCAGCTTTAATCCCCGCAGTGGATTTTGACCAGAGCGATCTTTGGTCCCGTGTCAGAACACACAGACCTTCATCCTGCGCCAGCAGTGCTTCTTTTGGGTTGGGGTATTGCCTTTTGGGGGGTCCCGTCACCCCTGGGGACAGAGCTGTGAGATTGAGTGACATCCTGGGCAGCGTGTGCCCCCTCCCCACCAATCGGTAGAACCGGGTGTATTTTATGTCAAGGCTTAGCTGCAAACATCACCCTGTTACTTATGCCCCCACACCGCCCACGTGTCCCCAAAGCCCCACCTGGGCCAGGCAGGGACGGGCATGGGGGGGACAGGGGGGGTCAGCAGGGGATGGGGGGG